TCGCTTCGGGTCTGGTCTGGATAAACGATGCTAATAGTAAATACTTCTTATCCAGCGTACGACCGTCATTCAACATTTAATTCATGAAATCAGCTTGTCCACCCGATCCCGGTAGTCGCCTTTTACGACAAGCATGGGTCTCTTTTTACGGCAAGCATTGGTTGCTGAAGACCTATTCTTTTCCGGATCTTAGCGACAACAAATCGGCACCGACAGTTCACAACAGGCGCCATGCTGGCCCACGTTTTGACTTTTACGACAATAACTCTCGTGTCCACCGTGCACTTAAGACCCATGAAGATTCCGGGGTAGAATAGGTCTTCAGCAACCCATGCTTGCCGTAAAAGGTGACTCAGTGGGAGGTGTCTGGTCCAGACTCGATTATTTACAGACCGCCGTCATATAGCTGGAATATTGCTGAGTGCGGCGTTAAACAACAAACCAACCAACCAACCAACCAACCAGCCAACCAACTTATCGTAACTGACTTCCTCCAACAGCAGAGTGAGTGAGTGAGTTTGGTTTTACGCCGCTTTTAGCAATATTCCAGCAATATCACGGCGGGGGACACCAGAAATGGGCTTCACACATTGTACCCATGTCGGGAATCGAACCCGGGTCTTCGGCGTGACGAGCGAACGCTTTAACCACTAGGCTACCCGACCGCCCCCTACAACAGCAGAACATCACCTGAATGCAATGGCCGGCCATGGGTTCTGATCACTGGATTGTCTGATCCAATCTCAACTACATTGTATTTACAGACCGGTGGCATATAGCTGGAATATTATTAGTTATCATAACGAATTTATTAAGCCGAAAAGTGTACACTGGTATCCATATCGCACGTGTCATGTCAAAATGAAAACTTGACGTTATACCGTACGTTGACCTGGGTGCCAGCTAAAACGGAACCTCGCCAAAACGTCACCGATTTCTTGGGAGAAAACGGCACCTCATTTGGCAAAACGGCTACTAATTGTCGGGCGAAAACGGCACCTGTTTTTAAATAAAGATAAGACCCTTAAGGGTCAAAGGGAGACTACTCTTCAAACCTCAGAGGCCAAACATTGTGGACAATTTTAACCAGAATCTTTTATCAATAAAGTCACGAATGTGATCTACAAAAAAACAGATGTGTCCTTGCGCATCACTATTAATGATATTAAAACACAAAACGGTGTCAAATAACGAATTTCGGTACCAGAATTTCCATGTGAAATATGTGAAGTGTAGGGCTCGGATGAGTCCAAATTTACTACCCAGGTACCCACCCCCCTATTACCCGACCCTACCCGGGTACCCACTGTAGGTCTCAAGAGATACAAAATGTCCGATTGGGATTTTTTTTACCACAGCACTTGCAAAACGTATTTAGATACACGTATTTAACGTCTGGTCATGCATGCACTGAAGTTGACTTAGGTTATATCTTTATTCAACCATATGAAAAGTCAGAAGGAATGGGTGCATAGTCAGAAAGAAATGCGAACATAAGTGACTTGTAGTGTAACCATAGAGTTCAAGATAATTGTTGTCATTAAACAATATATCACTTGACAAACCACGGATCCGTTAGTCCAGTACCCACCCGGCCCGGGTACCCGAATTACCCGTCCAGCCCTAGTGAGGTGGGTGTTTGAAAATCCAAGATGGCTGTTACTCACGGTATACGGTCTCATATTAGGTCAGTTTCAGCCATCTTGGATTTTCACAGACGGTATACGGGGTTATATGGGGTCATATGCTCTCTGATTGGTCAATCTCACTTTGAGGCATAATAATGTTGACTATTGCGTTAAACAACAAACAAAGGTGAGGGAAATGTAACGTGTGTTTGTTTGTTTGTTGTTTAAGGCCACACTCAGCAATATTCCAGCTATATTACGGCGTTATGTTAATAATCGAGTCTGGACCAGACAATGCAGTGATTGACATCGTGAGCATCGATCCAGGACATTCCACGTAATGGGATGCGATAACATGCATCAAACAAGCCAGCGAGCCTGACAACCCGATCCCGTTAGTCGCCTCTTACGACAAGCATAAACAAACAAACAATTTTAGTCCTGCACCATGAAAACAAAACCAGTCTAGATTTATAGACTGAGGGACAAAAGAATATAAAGTGTATAAGTTTTTTTAATGTAATTGAAAATTTAAACAACTCTTGTTAAACTTGATTGTATTTATGCAACTATCACTCATTCCTTTCACAGTTTGTTAGAGTGAGTGAGTGAGTGAGTATGGTTTTACGCCGCTTTGAGCAATATTCCAGCAATATCACTGCAGGGGACACCAGAAATGGCTTCACACATTGTACCCATGTCGGGAATCGAACCCGGGTCTTCGGGCTGACGAGCGTACGCTTTAACCACTAGGCTACCCGGCCGCCCCCAAGAATTCTTTAGTTAGTGAGTGAGTTGGGTTCAACGCCGTTTGAACAGTATTCCAGTTATGTCACGGCGTGTCAGCTTGATGTGGGAGGAAAGCCCGAAGTGATGCAGGTCTTAGATGCCAAGGGGAGGCAATTTTGCACAACGAATTGCGGGTATAACCTCAGCTCTAAAAAAATCAATACACTGAAATTTTCAATATCGTTTATTAATAAAACACAAAAAAACTACTCAAAGTGAAAATAAGAATTGTTTGCAAGGAAGTCCATATACAAAGTATAGCTCACTCTATAATTATCACATGTTGCCCGACAAGCTCACAGCGCTACCGTGACATGGTCTACGATAAGCATATACAAAATAATAAACAAAAGCTACACAGTGAAGCGGTACGTATTACGAATCGTGAGACTTGTTGTGACAATAATACAATCAGGTTGCCCTTGACTTAACAAGAATTTAAATTGGTGATGTATGAATATTTCTCACTAATGTTTAGTCAACAGGACATACATATGTGCGTGCGTGCGTGCGTGCGTGCGTGCGTGCGTGCGTGCGTGCGTGCTCGCGTATATATATATATATATGGCTTGGGTGAGATCAAGTGATATCTGCATTGTAGATATCGCTGCAATGAAATTGCATCGCAATGCTTTGCAGACAATTGTGACGTCATTGTTACCATGAGGTCACAATCAAATGTCATCACTAATGGCTCTGCTACTGAAGCTGTCAGCAGTACTTTATACACCTGGGACATGTCTGATGTTGGATGATAAATAAAATCTCACCCTCGTGTATTTTGATATCAAATATATCAACACTCGTTGATATATTTGATATCAAAAGTTACTCGGGTGAGATTTTATTTATCACTCGTTGATATGTTTGATATCAAAAGTCACTCGGGTGAGATTCTCTATATATTTACCGCGAAACACGGTCTCCACGCTTTCTGTGTTTCGAAACAGACCCATCGGATCAGCACATCAACACCTTAAGTTGTCAACCAATAATATATGTATAGAATGGTGGTGAGTTCTCGAATTGTCTCCTGATAACACTTTTGCCAAACAGACGCTGAAAGAAGCTTATCAGTCACACAAGATCCATTCGCATGCATATGTTTTTTACGTGCAGCACGTGCATATCATGATTTGACAGGCAAAAACAATCAGTATGAAACGAACATAGGATAGGTGAGAATCATTTGTTTCGCGGCGCGGTGTTAACTTTTCAGAACCTTTGACTTTTTTAGATGATTGTTTGTTGTTTAACGCTGCATCCAGCAATATTCAATCTATATCACGGCGGTCTGTAAAGAATCGAATTTGGACCAGACAATACAGTGATTGACACCATAAGCATCGATCCACGCAGTTGGGATCGATGACATGTATCAACCAAGCCCCTGAGGCTGACCACCCGATCCCTTAGTCGCCTCTTACAACAAGCATAGTCACCTGTTACGGCAAGCATGGGTTGCTGAAGACCTATTCTACCCCGGATCTTCATGGGTCGATTTAAGAAGTAAAGCTTTTAATTTTTCTATCACATACAATGAAAAGTGTTTTCTGAAAACAAATTCTTACATTGGGGTACGTTTTAAAAAACCTTTGAAACAATATTATTCGTTGTGGTTATTGTGTAATTGAACACATTTACTAATGTCAACAAATAATTGTTTCATATAAAATTGAGATTTTAAGGCGCATCCAGCAATCCCACATTGAATATTTGAAAACGGCATTTTGTTGAGGGATTCCTGACCAATATTATCAAAAACTGTTGACTGGGCAATCATCCAATCAGTGCCTAGCCTTCTAAAGTCTCGGTACGAGTCGACGAAGCATTCAGACAAACATATTTGATTTCGGTATTTCGAAAACGAATATAATCGAGGAGATCCGAATGCGAAAAATAATGCCCTGATGGTATATTGTTTTGGATATTCTACACCCGTCGTTTGTGATCGGCATGGCACCTACACCCAGAAGGATTACCATGGAAGGTATATTCGTGTCCTGTGGCGATTTTCTTTGGCAATTATCGAAGTTTCCGAATCGATACGGTAAAGAAATGAAGCTAAATTGTTTCAGAAAGGTTACATCTGATTGGCCCAAGAACCTATGCATCCTTCGTTTTGATTGGGTGGTCAGAGATCACTCAGAGTTCCCCCAAGATCAAACTCATCGACGCAACAACGATGTATCATTTTCCAATCGTCATATGAGTAATGTGCAATAATATACGAAAAGCAGCGATAGAAACAGTTTTAGTCCACTCGTCCTAATAAAACAGTAAACTACGGTTATAACGAACACGCTTATAACGAACTGACGGATATAACGAACTTTCTTTTTTGGTCCCGACTATTTGCCGTAGTTATGCTGTATATATGCTTATAACGAACAACGGTTATAACGAACTAAAATTAGTAGTCCCTTTCAGTTCGTTATAACCGTACTTTACTGTAATAACATTTAGCAAAACAGTTAAAAAGGCAAAGTCCTACAAGTCCTTATGTTATTTTAACTATTGGGCAGTTTGGCACTGGCGCCTATTTCTAACGCTGAAAAAGCGTGTTGTATTCACAAACGCAAACTGGCTTTACTGTTTATTACGTCTTATATGTATATACAACTCTTTGTGAATTCACGTTCACTGAGTATTCGGCCGGCTAGATATGACCCTGAGTCAGATCTATTCAGATCAGCCCAACCGGGTAGGGTCTACCACTTGTGGCCAAATATGCCGTGGTGATGGTGGTCGTGGTGGTGGTCATGGTGTCCGTGGTGTCCGTGATGTCCGTGATGATCGTGGTGTCCGTGGTGGTCGTGGTGGTCGTGGTGTCCATGGTGATGGGAGTCGTGATGGTGATGGTGGTCACTGTGTCCGGTGAGGCCCCTAAAGACGGCTCCAGCCGCCATTCCGAGAGCTGTACCCACTCCTACGTGATGGTCATGATGGTGGTCGTGCTTTTCCTGTGAAGGATGACGTCAGTTGGTCATTTATACGTCATGATGACGTAACGAATATGTGTAGATCTATATTTTCTTTAATATATTTGTAACATTTAGTATATTTGTGACAAGTTCTGAAAATTCCTGTTATAAGAAACTTGCCATTCACGTCTTCACCTGCTTAAGGCTGCACATTTTACGCACACAATAATCATGCGTTCTGTTTGGTTGTTGTTTAACGCCGCACTATTTCAGTTATAGGACGGCGGTCTGTAAATAATCGAGTATGGACCAGACAATCCAGTGACCACTAACGACCCGTGAAGATGCGGGGTAGAATAGGTCTTCAGCAACCCAAACTTGCCGTAAAAGGCGACTATGCTTGTCGTAAGAGGCGACAAAGGTGATCAGGAGGTTAGGTTCGCTGACTTGGTTGAAGCATGTCATGATCCCAATTGCGTGGATCGATGCTCATAATATCAATCACTGGACTGTCTGGTCCAGGCTCGATAATTTACAGACCGCCGTCATATAGCTGGAATACTGCTGAGCGCGGCGTAAAACAACAAACCAACCAACAACCAACTAACATCTTATGTCCCACGCCCGAAACCCAACTCAACTACACTACCATACAACAATAACTCACCTCAACTTTATATCCGTCTTTATAGACGGTTTTACAATGGCCGTCATTGACAACCGTCTTGGTGTGCCCGTCCTTGTAGACCGTTTTAGTATTTCCGTCTTTCACAACCACCTTATCACCCCCTGGATACCCGGGGTATCCGTGGGCGCTGGGGTATCCTGCGGGTTGTCCCGGGTAGGCGCCTGCGGGAGGCTGATTAGGATAACCGGGGTAGCCTGATAACGAACAAATTACCCAATCAGTAATAAGATTAAGACTGGGGGGTTTGACACGCCTACCGCAGAGAGAAGGTTATGTGTAAAAGTCAACCAGATTTGAAACTTGATCTGTACAATTGTTCCAGGTCACTCAACTCCGTGTACGGTATATGATCTACACATATTGTAGTTTACGCCCCTAAATAGTCATTGTCACCGTGATAAGGAGCTTGATGAAATAGTGAGTGAGTGAGTGAGTTGGGTTTAACGCCGCTTTTAACAGTATTCCAGTTATATCACGGCGTGTCAGTTTAATGTGGGAGGAAAGCCCGAAGTGATGCAGGTCTCAGACGGTTACCACTTCAGTGAAACCCACGAGCACGGGTATGGTGCTGACAAACCTAGAAACATAATCGAGGCGAACCGGGATTCGAACCCACAATCATAGGTTTCAGGCGTGCCCAAGGGGCGCAACTCTGCACAGCGAAGCGTGGTGCGAATCGTGGGCCATCCGTTGGGGTCGATGACATGCATCCACCAAGTCAGCGAGCCTGACCACCGATCCCGTTAGTCGCCTCTTACCACAAGCAGAGTTCCATTAGTCACACTTGCTCATGTTTAACTATACTACTTATTAGAAGCAAAAATAAGGAAGTGTTGAAATGAAAGTCTTTTCACATTCATCTGAACACAGCTGATTACTTCATAAACGATTTATAAAAGTTTATCACATCCCTATATATTCTATATTATATGATATTTCATAGGGTGGATAGAAATCGAAGCATATTTAACTAAATATTTACCTGGGTAATTGCTCATGATGATTGACCAAGTAGTTGTCTATATCTGTCCGGGGTTGACGGGATGAATGACAGGTGTTTATAACACGGTGTATATATACAGGCCGGTGACTGTGATTCAGCGTGGTGAAATAGACACGATAAGGAAAGTGATGCGTGGGGCGTGTATCACGTGTTTCGCGTCAGGTCATGTGACGTCCCAGTTTTTCATCCGATGTGTTGAAATTGATCAGTATCTTATAAACGAAATAGGTGAGATGGACAATTGCTGATTAAATTCGCAATCTTTAGGAGCGCTTAGATATGGACTTTGTGCTATTAAGCAATAGTAACCTATGACGTTATCTCTTCCCTGTGGTCATATTGTTAAATAAATAGTCGATTTTTGTTTGTTAACGTCGCACTCAGAAATATACCAGTTATATGTCTATGTAATAATCGAGTCTGGACCAGACAAGTCGCTCTTGATCGTCGTAATAGACGAATACCTCAATTGAATTGAAAAATTATTCATCGATATGAATATTTCAATAAAAAAACATCTCAAAGGGTATTATGTCTTCAGGTACAGGTTTAATTAGTCGCCTGACCATGTTCTGATTTCATGAATTAAATGTTGAATGACGGTCGAACGCTGTATAAGAAGTGTTTACTATTAGCATCGTTTATCCAGACCAGACCCGAAGCAATCCGGGGTAGAATAGGTCTTCAGGAACCCTTGTCGTAAGAGGCGACTAACGGGATCGGGTTGTCAGGCTCGCTTACTTGGTTTGAAGCATGTCATCGTATCCCAATTGTGTGGGTCGATGCTCATGATATGAATCACTGGATTGTCCTGTCCAGACTCGATTATTTACAGACCGCCGTCATATAGCTGGAATATTGCTGAGTGCGGCGTTAAACCCCCCAAACCCCAACCCAAATGGTTATGACTTTATTGTATGTACTTTGTATGTAGGATTATGTAAGTCTGTGTATGATCATGTAGGCTTTACAATGTTTGAAACTGTAAAACAATCACTGTGTCATAACTTATGTAGCTGAATCGACGTAGGCCCGTGTAAGAATATGTAGGCTTGGTCGAGTACGTTTTTCGTATATAATTATGTAGGCTTGGGAACGAGTACGTCGTATTGTGTATACTTATGTAGGCTTAAGATCGAATACGTCGTTTTGTGTACAAGTCTGTGGGCTTGAGAGCGAATACGTCGTTTTGTGTATATCTATGTAGGCTTGGGAACGAGTACGTCGTCCTGTGTATATTTATGTAGGCTTGAGAACGAATACGTCGTTTTGTGTATAATTATGTAGGCTTAAGATCGAATACGTCGTCTTGTGTACAAGTCTGTGGGCTTGAAAACGAGTACGTCGTCTCGTGTATACTTATGTAGGCTAGAGTATACCTTCCAACACATATTAGTCGCTGAACAGCTAAAATCTCAGCACAACCAAAGGTCACATTTCTCTATTAGCGAACAGATGTACAGGAACTGACGTTGTAAGCAACACGCTGCATCTAGGCTGTGAGATAGCACTGTGACCTACAGTGCCAACACTGATTACAAAGTCGGGCGAGTTGACACAAGGTCGTCGGCACTTAACTAATTGAAAGGGACATTCTATACGACTACTACGTTCAGTAGGCGTGCTGATAGAGATATACGTCATACTACATACATATTCATAAACTGTCGAACAATAGATGGTAGCTAAAATGAAAAAAAGAGAAGAAATGGTACTACTACTACTACTACTACTACTACTACTACTACTACTTCTACTACTACTACTACTACTACTACTACTACTACTACTACTACTGACCGCCTCCGTGGTCTAGTGGTAGAAGGTCCGGGGTTCGATCCCTGGCCGCGTCATACCAAAAGACGTTAAAAGATGGTACTTGTTGTTACCCTGTCTGGCGCTTGGCATTAAGGGGCTAAAACAAGGACTGGTCAGCTCGGAGTCAGTATACTGTGTCTGAGTGGGGTGTTCATGTTAAATTGCGGCATGGTATCTCAGTGTGCTAGCACTATATATCGGCATCAGTCCGGACTAGTACAAGCAGCCACACAAACACACACACACACACACACACACACACACACACACACACACACACACACACACACACACACACATGCACGTCGCTATGGACGCGACGTTAAACCCAATTTCACCTCACATCACTACTGCTACTACTACTACTACTGAGAGCAGATAATGAGCCTAACCAGCCTGATTGTGCCAGGATCACCCAAACCCTCTTCGCTGCATATTTATCATAATCTGTAGATAATAATAAAGTGTCGGGCAGGACCGAAGCCCAAGAAATTCTCAGGAGTTATCCCGGGTATACAGTAAGTACATACACCCTGTGCACTCAAAAGAAGCACTCGTACGATGCAGTGTTTTGACGAGTGTTTTCAGCCGAACTGTGTTCGACAGCGTCCGCATCCTCCAGCCAACCAAAAAGAACTGATAGAGGCCTCCAAAAAGAACTGATAGAGTCCTCCAAAAAGAACTGATAGAGTCCTCCAAAAAGAACTGATAGAGTCCTCCAAAATGAACTGATAGAGACCTCCAAAAAGAACTGATAGAGGCCTCCAAAATGAACTGATAGAGGCCTCCAAAAAGAACTGATAGAGTCCTCCAAAAAGAACTGATAGAGTCTTCCAAAATGAACTGATAGAGACCTCCAAAAAGAACTGATAGAGGCCTCCAAAATGAACTGATAGAGGCCTCCAAAAAGAACTGATAGAGTCCTCCAAAAAGAACTGATAGAGTCCTCCAAAAAGAACTGATAGAGTCCTCCAAAAAGAACTGATAGAGGCCTCCAAAATGAACTGATAGAGGCCTCCAAAAAGAACTGATAGAGTCCTCCAAAAAGAACTGATAGAGGCCTCCAAAATGAACTGATAGAGGCCTCCAAAATGAACTGATAGAGGCCTCCAAAATGAACTGATAGAGGCCTCCAAAAAGAACTGGTAGAGGCCTCCAAAATGAACTGATAGAGGCCTCCACAATGAACTGATAGAGGCCTCCACAATGAACTGATAGCGGCCTCCAAAAAGAACTGATAGAGGCCTCCAAGAAGAATGGCGACGTATCCCATGTGACGACTGACTTTTTCTGTGCCCCATAGAGTTTTTAGATGTATGTGCCCTTTGTCTTTTACGTTGAAAGCTGATTTTGTTGAGATTTTGCTCTTTTCAGTACATTTCACCTCAGGCATCTATCTTTTGTGGTTGTTGAACTGTTACTAGAGTGATGGGAAACAATGGTAACGTTTCTTTCCGTCGTTAGTTTATATCCATCGGTGCTTCTAATACATGATGTACCGATCACAAATATTCAATGAATGTTTTGGGGCGGTCGTGTAGCTTAGTGGTTAAAGCGTTCGCTCGTCGCTGCGATGACCCGGGTTCGATTCCCGACTTGGGTACAATGTGTGAAGCCCATTTCTTGCTGGAATATTGCTAAAAGCGGCGTAAAACCATACTCAGTCACTTAATGAATGTTTCGACAGACTGAGTTTCGAGTTGATGATATGGGGTTTCATGTTTCTCATTATCTGTCTGCCCCTTAAATTGATCCCTATCACAAGTTTTAAAATACATTTGAAGGGGTGTTAAGAAGCAATTTTTACGCCCGATTACAACACTTTGCACTTTCCGTGCGGTCTCATCATACTTCGACACTCAAGGGGCGTGGCTAAAAGAGACCCCGCCTTACATTGAAATGCAGAGTACCTTAATAGATTTGTAACATAGATAACAAATAAAATCAGCTCTCCCCAACCTGCCAGTTATAAACAGAACATGTGGCTTATACACGCCTTGAAGCACCGTTTGATCGTTTTGTAATACAGGATGGATTGTTTTCAGTTCTACACAAACATTTCCTTATGCACTGGCGGAAATATTTCTATTAATCTAAAGTTATATAGTTTACAGATGAGCCTAGATAGTGTGACCTCACCGTGCCCCAGTCGTACAACTCAACGATGGTACTTATTTCCGTGTGTGAGTCAGTTGGTTCATAAAATCATATTACATTATATAAACTTAAAGTTGAGTGAGTTAAAAGTTAACGCGGCATCGGCATTATTTCAGCCATATGGCGACTGTAGAAGTTGAGCATTTTGGCGGACAGGCCGAGAATCATAATCGCGACAATGGTTTCGAATCAGTGGATCCTTGCACAGGTAAAGGACCCAATACTGCACTCCGAATTACGACTTCGACCTCCACACCGTTATGTGTGATTTTGGGGAAAAACATAACTGCTCAATGAGGGAATGCAAATGAGAATTTAAATTTTCTTAAAATATTTAAAAAAAATAAATAAAAAAATAAAAAAATAGATAAATAAATAACACAGTTTCATGAAGAGTGTTTTATCAGAGAACTTTGCGTAGATTATGCATTTAAAAGAGTCCTAGTTAGTTATACAATAGACACTCATGAAATACACCCAGAAATACCTCTCTGGGTGAGGGAGCGCGCGTGTGCGTGGAGGGGTGGGGGGAGTGGTCTTTGAAAATGACAGAATGCCTTTTTTCTATGCTCAATTATATTTTTAAGCAGTACATTTCAGTATACCTAGGACGCCCACCTTTGTAAGCACAAACCTGATATGTTGACCAAAATATCAGGCTATCAAAATGCTCATTCCCATAGCGATACGGTGAACTTGATATGATAACGATGTCTGAAAAGAAATATCACTCGAACTCGTACTGATGCGTGCGATTAGATACCGGAGTAGATATGAAGGCCCAAATGATACAGGTTTTGTCGTGATGTTAGAGCCATCACTGTTGAAACATCAGCACAAACAACAACAACAACAACAACAACAACAACAACAACAACAACAACAAACAAACAATTCTCTATCCGTTTGCGGATGATGGCGAAAAACATCATCGGAAGAATGCCAATTTCTGATGGTAACGCCATGTTTTGTTTGTTTGTTGTTTAACGCCGCACACAGCAATATTCCAGCTATATGACGGCGGTCTGTAAATAATCGAGTCTGGACCAGACAATCCAGTGATTCACATCATGAGCATCGATCAACGCAATTAGGATCGATGACATGCATCAACCAAGTCAGCGAGCCTGACCACCCGATCCCGTTAGTCGCCTCTTACGACAAGTATAGTCTCCTTTTACGACAAGCATGGGTTGCTGAAGACCTATTCTACTCCAGATCTTCACGACAAGGCCTTGAGATATATATATTGACTGTTCAGCAGAGGACCAACGAGCTCCCTCAGAACGAACCAATGCATCCCTTAAAGAATAAATCATTTTATCTATATCTCTTGGTTAACCTGTCAGCAATTTTCTTGTGTGTTTTTCTAACCTCGACCCCCGCTCAAAAATGATATTATTGAAATTCACTCACTCTGACCACAACTTGCGCTAATTTTACTTATAAGCTTATCACCGTATTACCGTATATTGCTTTAGGTTCCTGACAACCTCGACTAAACCTAGATGGGAAGCATATCAGTAACCAGCTCATCTTCAAACCTAGGTGGGGGCACGGGTGGCCCAGTCGTCTAAGGCGCCGCGATTCGCTTTGCAGAGTTGCGTCCCTTGGACACACCAGAAACCTATGATTGTGGGTTCGAATCCCGGTTCGCCCCAATTATGTTTCTAGGTTTGTCAGCACCATACCCGTGCTCGTGGGTTTCACCGAAGTGGTAACCGCCTGAGACCTGCATCACTTCGGGCTTTCCTCCCACGTTAAGCTGACACGCCGCGATATAACTGGAATACTGTTAAAAGCGGCGTTAAACTCACTCACTCACTCACTCACTCAAACCTAGGTTTTCAAATGGGTCCCTTGAAAACCTTGGTTTTGAAATGGTTTTCTTCAAAACCGGTTCTTAAATGGGTCGATTCTAAACCTGTTTTACATTTCAATAGATATACCTTCTTATCTAGTCTGGCGCTCGGCATTAAGGGACTAAAACAAGGCCTGGTCGGCTCGGAGTCAGTATACTGTGTCTGAGTTGGGTATTTATGTGTTAAACTGTGACATGCTATCACAGTGAGCTATCACTATAAATCGGCATCAGTTCGGATTAGTACAAGCAGCCACACACACACCCAAGTGCTAGACTAACATATAGTCTCTGAAATGAACAAATCGTACAGAAAAAAACAGTTGCTCAGTTATCTTAATAAAAATATAATAAAAAGGGAGCCCAGTGATTCTCTTCATTTTCAGATACTGCAGTAATCTAGACTTGCCAAACATTATAGACTTGCATGGGCTGTAGTTGATATATTTGTATCTGTAAGACAGACTAACCAAAGTGCATGTACGTCGCTATAAGCGCAATAATCTTGGACGCGACGTTAAACTCCATTTCACCTCATCCCGAACGGCTTCTCTCTACAGAGTAGAACTGAGTCTGTGAAGAAAAACGGAGAGCCGAGGTGGGGTGAGGTGAGGTGAGGTGAGGTTTTATAGTGCTAGCTCACTGAGATACCATGCCGCAGTTTAACATGAATACCCCACTCAGACACAGTATACTGACTCCGAGCCGACCAGTCCTTGATTTAGCCCCTTAATGCCGAGCACCAGGCAGGGTAACAAGTACCATATTTTAACATCTTTGGTAGGACGCGGCCGGGGATCGAACCCCGGACCTCCCGCTCTCCGGGCTTTCCTCCGGGCCACGGAGGCGGTCAGACATATACAAAACAGAAAAAATATACTTTGCCTGGGTAACGTTCCAAAAACAGTGTTGCTTCTTCGCCATCGAAAACCATAGAGGCCTCACTCACAATCTCTTGTTTAACCGCAGTTGGAATATTTATCAGGGCGCCGTTGTACAAAACAACCTTAGCGCTACGACTGGCGTAAGTCTATGTTAAGGTATGGGAGCTACGATCACCTTAGCGCTAAGATCTCTTTGTTCAAGGGCACCCATATTATCACACGACAAGAGTGAGTGATGAAACTACACCAAGGCCTTAGTTCGGTTGCATTTCCACAAATTTTCCACAAATGCTTGCCGTAAAAGGTGACTATGCTTGTCGTAAAAGGCGACTAACGGGATCGGGTGGTCAGGCTCGCTGACTTGGTTGATGCATGTCATCGATCCCAATTGCGTGGATCGATGCTCATGATATTAATCACTGGATTGTCTGGTCCAGACTAGATTATTTACAGACCGCCGTCATATAGCTCGAATATTGCCGAGTGCGGCGTTAAACAACAAACAAACAAACACGCAAAAGGACCAGTGCTCGCGCAACTTGGAACCAAAAGCAGTCTCCAATTCTAACCATATTGGAGTTAGTGAATGAATATTTTTTCTCGCCGCAGTCAGCAATATTCCAGCGATACTAGGCGGCCTGTTCATATTCGAGTGAGTGAGTGAGTTGGGTTTAACGCCGCTTTAAACTTTATTTCCGTTATTATCGCGGCGTGTCAGCTTAATGTGGTAGGAAAGCCCGAAGTGATGCAAGTCTCAGACGTTTACCACTTCGGTGAAACCCACGAGCACGGGTATGGTGCTGACAAACCTAGAAACATAATCGGGGCGAACCGGGATTCGAACCCACAATCATAGGTTTCTGGCGTGCCCAATGGACGCAACTCTGCAAAGCGAATCACGGCGCCTTAGACGACTGAGCCTCCCGTGCCCCTGTTAATATTCGAGCCTGGGCTAGGTAGTATATCAATAATAACAACGAGGAAGTAAAGGCACACAGTTTATTAAAACAAACTAAACAGATCAAAGTCATTGAAGTACCACACTCAGATGCCAGGGACTCTCATGTGAGGCGTTGGCATATGTAAAAATATTTAATATATACAAATAGTTGGAAAAATGGTCACGTACTTCACTTTTTGGCGAAGGGAAGGATCATTCCAAGCTCAGCCACAATTTCAGATTTTGTCATAAGCCTATGCGATAAACACTGAGTTAAAATTTAAATTTTAACGTCGCCTCGGCATTATTTCGGCGATACACAGAAATCGAAGTGTCTACAACCTAGAAACCTTATGAATACCAAAATTGGAGTGTATCACATTTTGGGGTATCATCCCAGTGATGAGGAACATATTTTTTTTAACCTGACACTTCATTTCTGATCTTGCACATAGAATATATTTACAAACTGACGTTCATTCACGTTATTTACTTTCTCCTCGGAGTAGTGAGGGTTTATTTTTACACTTCAGGGATGCAAATCTTCTCTTTGGCTGGGTTTGCTCTTCCACGTTACGTCACCCATCACCAGTGGTGTCCATGGTGATGGTGTCCGTGGTGATGATGGTGGTGGTGTCCGCCATGGAAGAGGTCATCAAGCGCGGCACCAATTCCGTGCCCGTGATGGTGGTGGCCGTGGTGGTGGTGATGGTCCTGGAATTCAGGAAGTCAGGATTAAATAAACATCGACGGAATCTAACAGATAATTATTGACATTTTGTTTGTTTGTTGTTTAACGCCGCAAAATTCTAGCTATATGGCGGCGGTCTGTATGTAAATAATCGAGTCTGGACCAGACAATCCAGTGATCGACATCATGAGCATCAATCTACGCAATTGGGATACGATGACATGCATTACCAAGTCATCGAGCCTGACCACCCGATCCCGTTAGTCGCCTCTTACGACAAGCATGGGTTGTTGAAGTCCTATTCTAACCCGGAATCTTCACTGGACTTATTGACATTACCTCACCTGGTCCTGTTTGACCCGAATTTGAGTAATCCCAACCTATGTGACGTTATTAATTTAAAATCTACTTTTATATTCATAAATGGCTACTATTCGACTCTGTTCCCTTTCTTTAGGTCCCGAGGCTTGATGAAATGAAAGAGACGTTCTGATTTAATAATTAAATTAAATGGGATTTCTTTTCAAATTCATTTTCTTTTCAAAACAGTGGGTTGTTTGGTAGTTTAATAACTTATACATTTCATTTGATCATCAGGACCCACTTGCACAAAGCGATCTTACCGCTTCGGCTCTCTACGTCGATGTTGGAGTATGGGAGTAGCGCTAATATCGCTTTGTGCAAGTGGGCCCTGAACTTTGGATTCTTGTGATGGTTTAACACATCAAAGGAATGACTGCTCAGGCCTAACATCAACTCTTAGCTCCTGTTATAACGAAGTCGGATGTGTCGAACAGTCGCCTTTTATGAAAAACCGCATATTACGAACAGTCTTCTAATACAGACAAATACGACCAAAAGGCTGTTGCAAACAGCTAGAAATTACGTAAAGTCGGATGTGACGAACAGTCTAATATAACGAACAACCGGCTATTACGATCGCGAGCAGTCAGATATCATGAAGCAAAATGTGCGCGCATTCAGTTGGGAGTGTACGTTATTGTCCATGCGCATAACGAACTTCGGATATAACAAAATGATGTTCGTTATATCCGAAGTTGTCTGTACGAATCGATGGAAAAGTAAAGAGATTCTCCAAAATGGAAACTTCAATATGTTTTGAGTTTCCCAGCCAGGAACTTGGAACCAGGAAATATTCATAAGGAAGTAGTGTATCACATTGTTAATTGTCCAACTTGTCTGACCATGTGGCCTATACAATAGGATTTATACATCCGCAATTCCAAATTGAGGCAAATATGTCTGGTTGTTTGTTATCGTTAGTCATAAACAGAAACATGCGACCTTGACCTGAACGGGCTTGATAAGGAAATTAGGACATGTGATATCGACACTAGTCTTTGGACTGTCAAAGTACATGTTCCTGCACATTAGACAAAGAGAATCACGTGAAACTCTCGCTAGTCCAACCCTTATAAACAATAGTTATATTTATTAGTTCCATAATCTAGAAATACTTTTTTTTACATACAATTGGTTTTAAGCAGTGAAATTGAAAAGAAAATCTATCGAGGACATATTCAGTTGGAAATCATGATCTAAATTTTGTATTCAATTAACTCGAATTATCTCGAGAATTTACATTCGTCACTCGAATTTCGAAATAAAGTGTTAAATATTGAACCTTATTAATCCGGACACCTCGGTTTACATGCTTTAATTGAGATTATATATATTCGCACGAAATAATCGTTAGATTCATCAGCCTATGTATTCTGCCCCCAAATGAAAATCGTCCAGATTAACAGGTTTCCGGATAAGACAGGTCATGACCAGGAAGTTCTATAAAATACAAGTATACTTACATCAACGATGATGGTACGTGGAGGCTCTACAACGTAGTGCGTGTGGACGGGGGGAGGGACAGGTGGACGGGGATAAGCATATCCCGCTGGGGGCTGGGCGTACGGTGCTGGGGGTGCGGTGGGGGCGGGGTAGGGCTGTGGAGGGGGGTATTGTCCGGGGGGAGGTGCGTAGCCGGTAGGGTAGCCTGAAATGAAAAAAATCCGTTTTAGATATAAATTTACAAAAGCAGTTGTAAAACGTTTAAAATGGAATATATTTTAAAAATCCAACATCAGTGAACAGTGCTGATGTTATTTGGTATTGATATATAATAATTCATTAATAGTGTTCACGTTTATAAACAAGTATGATTTTGCGACAATATTACAAATAATTCAGGGATATCTATTTTCTTCCTTGTATAATTTTCCGTGAGCCTGATAAATAACGGCTACAAATATTTCGACTCGTGTGTCAATTTCACAAGCAGATTGTCCATAACAATGATTTGTTGAATATTTACCTGGATATTGGCTCATTCTGTTGTCTACGAGTTGTCTAAGCGTTGTATATTTCAGCTGTTGTAGTTGCGACCCTTCGCGTCCGCTGCAATGAACATCTGTCAGTCAGATGTCAATATATAGCTGTTATGGTGAAATCGGAGGGGGCGTATCTACTCATGTGACAGCTATAAATAAACATGAGCGTATGCGTCATTGTTTCTATTTGTATGCAAATGTATCACGTGATCACAGTGACATGCAAATGAGTCAGCTATCTGAGGCAACAGAGCGAGGATAGGGCTTCAAATGTTTTGATACAGTCAACATTACTAGTATTTAAGATAGGTCATGGCGACCTGAAGATACTTGAATCTCGGCCTGGCAAACCAGTGCTTGATAACATGAGCACTGAGAACTAAGTCAGGTCAGACATTGTAACCATTCGATCCTCGTGATTCGGCTCTTTAGACCAGCATAATTTTTTGTTATTCGGGACTTCACAGGAATCAACAATACCGGAAGTCGGCGAACTGCATTGTGGCCTAATTTTGCTTTCTTGTGACTTATAGGCCGTACTTTTTTAATATATCAAATAAATCTAACAGTTTGTCAAACGAAGTAACATCATTGACTGTTTAGACCCGTGAAGATACGGGGTAGAATAGGTCTTCAGCAACCCATCCTTGCCGTAAAAGGCGACTATGCTTGTTGTAAGAGGCGGCTAACGGGATCGGGTGGTTAGGCTCGCTGACTTGATTGATGCATGTCATCGATCCCAATTGCGTGGATCGATGCTTATGATGTTGATCACTGGATTGTCTGGTCAAGACTCGATTTTTTTACAGACCGCCGTCATACACCTGAAATATTGCTGAGTGCGGCGTTAAACAACAAACAAACAAACAACCATTGACTGTTTAACACTGCTTTGAATGACATGCCCGTTATATCTCGTCTTGAATTGGAAGGTAAGCTTAAAAAATGCAGGTCTAATGCGTATGCTTATCAGCAGGGAGAGTACAACTATCAACGGATCCTGGAACAACTATGGGACGCAACTCCGAACAGCGAATACCGGCATAGTTGGCCTTAAATAGTTATTCGGAAAAATGTCTGCCAAAATACCGGATCCTGGTATTGGTAAGGGACACAACTCATTCTTACCTATTCGCCGCCGACCCAGTACAGATGGTAATAATCTGTATTCATGAAGGGAGCACGCTTGGCCCCGTCGTCTGGGTCTGCGCATTATGTGCACCTTCCCGTGCTCGTGGACTTCACCGAAGTGGTAAACGTCGTTGACCTGCATCAATTCGGGCTCTTCTCCCACATAAAGCTGACACGCCGTGATAGCAATGAAATACTGTTATAAGCGGCGTTAAACCAAACTCACTCACCAGTGACAGTGATTGATGACAATAAAACGAATTTATGTCTAGATGTAAAATATATGTACTTTTGGTGAAAAAAAGTGGTTTCTCAAACTATAATACATGTCACAAATTATTAACACATGGTGTTATTTTTTTCTTGAATTTAACTTTCCTTCATGATACATCGTCATAAATTATTAAAATGAATTCTGATACAGCTGTCCCTATTTTCATTATGTTAGTACAATGTAGGTAGGGGTGGTCGGGTAGCCTAGTGGTTAAAGCGTTCGCTCGTCACGCTGATGACGCGGGTTCGATTCCCGAAATGGGTACAATGTGTGAAGCCCATTTCTGGTGTCCCCCGTCGTGATATTGCTGGAATATTGCTAAAAGCGGCGTAAAACCATACTCACTCACATTACAATGTAGGTAAGTTTCACAGACAAAGTTTTGTTTAAACAAAGAATATGTACACGTGAATGATCCATTTTGAAGCTTAGCGTTGTCTTGCTGAAAGCAGTCTTTGGATCTAAAGATACCATTCTGTGCTTGTTGCATCCCTTTGCTATGTCCACGCATGGCCGAGACCTAGATTAAAAGAAATAGTGAGTGAGTGAGTGAGTTGGGTTTAACGCCGCTTTTAACAGTATTCCAGTTATATCACGGCGTGTCAGCTTAATGTGGGAGGAAAGCCCGAAGTGATGCAGGTCTTAGACGTTTACCACTTCGGTGAAACCCACGAGCACGGGTATGGTGTTGACAAACCTAGAAACATAATCGGGGCGAACCGGGATTCGAACCCACAATCATAGGTTTCTGGCGTGCCCAAGGGACGGAGACGAGTGGGCCACCCGTGCCCCCCTAAACGAAGTAACTTTTCTCTGTGTAGTTACAAATGTACCTATATTACCCAGTTAATCTTGTTCAGAAATTCGCTTGCAAGTAGGTTTGTTTGTTGTTTAACGCCGCACTCAGCAATATTCCAGCTATATGACGGCGGTCTGTAAACAATCGAGTCTGGAACAGACAATCCAGTGATTGATATCACGAGCATCGATCCACGCAATTGGGACACGATGACATGCATCAACCAAGTCAGCGAGCCTGACCACCCGATCCCGTTAGTCGCCTCTTACAACAAGCATAGTCGCCTTTTACGGCAAGCATGGGTTGCTGAAGACCTATTCTACCCCGGATCTTCACGGGTCAGGCGTAAGATGATAAGGTTTAACCAGTTTAAAGTGCAACGTTTTAGTGTTAATGAAAAAATATGATATCTTCCAGTTTCATCAAATTGAAGAATAGACATTCGCACCCCGAGAAATAAAATTCTGCACGATGGTTGCCATGTTGTTTACGAACCGGATAACGATTTCGTGACGCGATTTTGATTGGAGTACGCATAGACTCGTTTGTCCAGCCAAAATATAACTCAGAAATTCCAGCCAAGTTCGCCAAGGGTGGAAACTTTTATTGGTAGGATTAAGCGCGTCTGAGGGTTTTTATGATATTTAAAACCCGCCTCCGCGGTTTAAGGCTTTAAATATCATAAAAACGCAAGGGGAAGTGTTTTATCTGACTTATAAACCGAAAAAAGAAAGAAACATCATTTCGTTGAGGTAATGGACTCCTACTCCTATCTTGGAGTGGTACTAATGAGGACTGGATAATGAAAAAATATGATATCTTCCAGTTTCATCAAAAAGAAGAATAGACATTCGCACCCCGAGAAATAAAATTGCATCAATAAAGTAAACAAATGCAACAAACCAATTTCCATCAGCCTCACGAGGCAAGGGAGGTAACCGACTATAAAAGTCCGGTGTCCACGCTTACCGAGCTTGGCTGGAATTTCTGCTCGATCGTTGCGCCCCCAGTGGCTATTACGAGTTATGACACTTCTATGAACCTCCTATTGACCAATCAGATTCCACCTCTCAAATCACAAACTTGCTGCGCTCAGTAAAAACGATTTGATCGATAATCAAGATCTGTATCAGTAACAGGCCATACCTCGCGAAGAGCATCACTCACTTGGGCAAGTTGATCCAAACATGAAAAACTTGGAAAATACCTGTCGACGCCCAGTAGACGGTACACATGCTTTGCAAATCCTGCAGTCACCCGAAATCTGCACGACAGTCGCCATTTTGTTCATGGACATTACGCGAATTTTTATTCGACTGCATGTCACGATGTATGAACAGACTCGCCAGGCCAACAACAATATAACTCAGAAATCCCAGCCTTGTTCGGAAAGAGTTCAAACTGGACTTTTATGGTCAGTTAACTACCCCTCAAAGTAGACACAATTTATGAATAACATGGTTATGTCCCTTCTAAGTCCATCCTATTGACCAATCAGATTCCACCACTCATATCACCTGCATTTGCTTTAAACAAAATGGCTGCGATCAAGACGATCTGATCGATGATCAAGATCCATATTGTACCCTCGCGAAGAGCATCAAATCACTTTAACAAGCTGATTAAAACAGAAAAAGATTTCGAAAATATCTGTCGATGCCCAACCGAATTCTGCACGGTAGTTGCCATGTTGTTTTCGAACCAGATGTCGATTTCGTGACGCGATTTTGATTGGACTACGCATAAACTCGTCAGTCCAGCCATAATGTAACTCAGAAATTCCAGCCCAGTTCGCCAAGGGTGGAAACCTTTATGAGTAGGATTAAGCGCGTCTGAGGGTTTTTAATATGCCTCCGCGGTTAAAGGTTTTAAATATCATAAAAGCCCAAGGGGAAGTGTTTTATCTGACTTATAAACCGAAAAAAGAAACATCACTTCAAACATACTTTCCTTGAACCTTAGGAAACGGGGGTAAAATATCTGTTGTTGGCGTACGGTTCTGAAATATACATTCTAAAAAGCATTGCGATTTATCAGTGCCTCTGTTAGCTGGTTGCTGTAAAAGGTGACTATGCTTGTCGTAAAAGGCGACTAACGGGATCGGGTGGTCAGGCTCGCTGACTTGGTTGATGCATGTCATCGTATCCCAATTGCGTGGTTTGATGCTCATGATATTAATCACTGAATTGTCTGATCCAGACGACTATTTACAGACCGCCGTCATATAGCTGGAATATTGCTGAGTGCGTCTGGCCAAGGTAATGTCTGGATGTTGTTGTGCTGTAAGAAGTCCTGACAAACACGTGCAATGTGGGGTCGATCGTTGTCCTGCTGGAACTGTCCGCCATGAACGTTGACGTGAGGAAGAACGTAAGATTGTAGGATCAAGTCTCTGTAACGCACACCTGTCAAGGCACCTGCCACATGCACGAGAGGCGTCCTACCACCGTGACGAATTCCGGCCCATACCATGACACTCCCGACGCCAAATGGGACAACCTGCTGCACACAGTTGGGGGCGTAACGTTCACACCGACGTCTGTAGACACGTGCGCGCCCATCAGCACGTGTGAGTAGGAAACGGGACTCGTCAGTAAACAGTACATTTCTCCACCTTCCACGTGCCCATCTAACCCTCTGTTGGCACCAAAGCAGACGGTCCGCCAGATGGGGTCAATACATGACGTCGAACAGGTCTTCGTGCAAAAAGTCCAGCCTCCCTCAGCCTGTTGCGTACCGTTTGATCTGATATTCTGCGTACCCCAGGGATCTGTGTGGTTGTAGACGTGGCTGTGGTAGTGCGTCTCGGGGGTGTCGCAGCCGGATGTATCGATCTTGTGCTTGGTCTTCCTGACCTTGGTCTGTCGTCAACTATGTTGGTGTTGTTGTATCGGGTCAACAGTGCGGAGATTGTCTGTCTGGATACGCCAAAGTGCCTG